GCCTGTTTAGGGAGTGATTTTGCCATTACCACATGCACACACACATACTTGTGAATTTCTTTGGCTGTTTCCTGAATCCTTATCTAACACTATCCATTATATAAAACTGGGTGTTTGTCATGAGTGCATCCGAAGACCTGGACCCAGATGCACTTCAGCTAAGGCTGAAGAGAATGCTGTGAGATCAGAAACACCTGAACCGCCTCCAGATTCTCCTTCCACAGCAGACAGGCTTCGGGAAGAACTTAGAACAAGAAGATCAGAGGATCGCTCAAAGGCTGTCCACAGAAACCTACGTTCATCTAGTCCTGAGTATTAGCAGGATAGAAAGCTTTCCAGCAGCTCAAGGAGCTGTTTTACTATAAAACAGCTCCCAGTGAAGCCAGAAATTCTGTGGAAGCAAAGACTCGAAACCTTGGCTTGCATCCATGCTTCTTGAACCGTGTTCTTGACTCTGGACTCTGCCCTTGGACTACGCTGGTATTGGACTTCGGACTCTGACCCTGGACTACGCTGTGTATCGGACTCTGGCCTTTGACGCTGGACTTCCTTCTGTGAGTTGATTTATGGACATTGGCTTTGCATTCTTGGTATTCTCGACCCTGGACTGGCTTATCGGACTTCGGCTGTTGTAACCCCCGAGAACGTGACAGTGTTGTAGAAACCAGTATACCAAGTATAATTCAGTTATTTTATGATGTGCATGGAATTCCACTACAGGCCGCACAATCTTGCTATCTTGCATGACTGCCCTTATTCTCCCCCCACACACACACATTTTTGTAGTACCCAGTTTGATTAAAGATTTTGGGGAACTCAAAAGCTTGTGTGTTTTGTAAACTTTTTGTTGATTTGTGTAGCAAACAGCCCTGCCCTCACCTGTCCATCACCACAGAACATTGAAGAAGGAGCCTATGAGGGGACGGAAGGTGGAGCCAAGGGGGGAGGGAGCTGGATATAAAGACTGGTGAATGGAGTCTGTGGGAGATTCTGGAAGAGAGAGACTGTGCAAAACTTAAAAATATCTGGAAAGTGAGTTAGAGATCTGTTAGAGTCTAGATTGAAACATAGGGTTAAAAGAATTTTAAAGTTATATCAGATTTGATTCAAATATAAGTGATTGGCAGCCTGTGATTTATCCCATGAATATACATTGTTTATTTACTTCCCTAATTAAAAAAAGGACTGAAGTTTTGAGCAGCACACTTGTCTCCATACTCTACTGATATTAAAGCATTAATATCTGATGGCAGCGAAGATGAAGGAAGGGCGAGAACCTTGTGAAGGCCTGCGGGGATAGGGACTTCAGACGACATCGCAACAGTTCTAATAAAAGTACTCTCTACTTGTGGATTTCAGTGTTGGTTTCTTCTCATGTATGAACATGTCCACCTTAGTTATTATGTGTAATTTGCAATTTCTAGTGATTCAGTTCTTCCGTTTCTCAGATTCGTTGTCAATAATCACTATTCAGTTGTCTGGATTGTTCTTTTATTTGAAGATGTGTATTGGGTGGAACCCAAACATGGGTTCTTCTTCGTGGTCTCTGTGAATGCACACTAATGTGTTTAATCTGCGCTTGCGCAGAGGTCTCTGGAATATTCTAGAGCTTTATGATACGTTCATCAAGGACCGCCCCCCAGTACACATGGTCTGCCCATCCTGGCAATTACTTCAGTTCCTTTTTGCTGCTGCTCATTTCTCTCCTCTCATCAAGCTCCATTCATCATTTCTTCTTTAATCTGAGGAAAATTGGAAAATACTTTTTGAGTGATTCTTTCCAGCTTCTATACAATCAAAGGAAAACTGTAAGAGACTTTTCGAGCAATTTTTCCCTATTGCCCCCCATTCACCCCACCATTTATGGCCCCTCTTCCCCCGTTTAAAAAATGCACCTCATGCTCCAACAAAGTTCCCCTCACAGATGGTCACAATCTCTGTCTTTTTTGCCTGAGGGAATCTCACCAGCCTTCTATTTGTCAGTTCTCCAAGAACCTCACTAAATACCCATTCTTCAGCAAAACGACTGGTTCGCAGTCATAGATTTAAGCAATACATATTTCCACATTACCATTCACCAGGACCATCACAAATTTCTCAGATTCGCCGTAGGACCCCATGCCTACGAATTCAAAGCCCTTCCTTTCGGCCTTTCTATAGTGCCAACGGTATTCACCAAATGTATGGCACCTGTTGCAGCCCACTTGCATACTCTGGGAATCTCCATCTTCCCCTATACAGATGACTGGCTGATAGTCTCCCCTTCACATTCTCAGGCTTTAAAAGATATCCAGTTGACCTTTTCTCTCCTCGCGGATCTGGGCCTCAAGATCAATGAAGAAAAATCCATTCTTGCCCCTACACAATGGATCACCTACATAGGTGTGATCCTCGACTCTACGAGGGCAAGAGTTTTTCTTCCTTCAGAGAGAGCACCCAAACTTCACATGCTCATTGAACAATTCCTTCCTCACTCATTTGTCACAGCACATTTGGCTCAACGTGTCCTAGACCTTATGGTCTCCACCACATTGACCATTCAGCACTCCAGGCTAAAGATGCGCTCCCTACAATCATGGTAGCTGTCCCTCTTTGATCCTGTGACAGACCCATCTTCCAAGCTTCTCCAAGTCGCCCCCGAGCTCTCTTCTCAGCTCTTCTGGTGGGACACTCCAAAAATGATGCAGCAGATTTTTGCTGCCCTAATGTTTCTTCATTTCCTCTGCCTTTCTGCTGAGGAGCAGAGGAACTGTTTAATTTGTCAATATCCTGAAGCGACTCTCTTATTACACCACTTTTCTGATGTCAGAAATTCCCACTGAAAAGAGCCAGAGCAAATAGGGTTGCTCAAGCTCCCCTTACAACACTTGGATGTGAGGATCACACCAAATGGCATGGCATGCCTCTATCCAACCTCAAGCAACCTTATTTTGCCCTCACCAGCTCTCTCCAAAAGAGCCTATGCAGACAAGCTCTGTAAGTGTCTTTCTCAGATGCAATGAAGTTCTTCTAATCCTCTCAAAACCTTATGCCATCCTTCCCCAAGCTGGTGCCTCTCTAATGCAAGACTGGTCTTACCTACTAGGATGAGCAAAGCAACAAGCTTCAAGCAACAGAAGTGGGATGAAGTAGGAGCAGCCTCAGGGTGTTGGGAAGGTGACTGGCCCTCGTAGGTAGCTTTCTGCCCTTTCATGGGTGGGCAGAAGAAGCGCCAGCTGGTGCCCATTCTGATTGGCAGGGCAGAAGACATAACAACTAATGGTGAGCACACCTAGGCACCAAAAAGGATATTCTTTTAAACACAGACAGACACAAAAGGATGCTTAGGCAAAGACAGGCAGAATCAGACCAGCAAACATTCACACATGCAGATAATTTCTGCTCTGTTAAGTAAGCAAGCAGGAGTGGGATAAGGAGAGACTAAAGCATGCAGTATCCCACTTATCCTAATGGAGGAGCTGCCACTCTGAAAACGGAAGTCCTGCCTTTGAAATACTGTATAGCAGGCAGCTGCAGGTTTGGTCGGCTCTTGTGTTGTACTGGCGGGTGCCCTTTTCTCTTCAGGGGTCTCAGGATCTTGGGACAACCCAAGCCACGTTAGTCTAGTGGTGTGGTAGGAACGGTGGGGGTCAACAGTGAAATGTTCTTGCAGGTCACCAAGCTAAGGGAAGCTTGAATATTCTGCTCTAAGAAGTCTAATGATAAATCTAAATGAAATCCAGTGTGATGTTGTTATAGTCAGTGGATAGAGTGACAGATTAGGGCTGGGGAGGCCTAGGTTCAAATCCTGGCTCAGCCACGGAAGCTCTCTTGAGGGTGTGAAACTGCTAAAACCACTCCTTAAATATCCTACTTATCTTGAAAGCCCTATTAGCGTCACTGTAAGTGGATTCCGACTTAAGACATAAGACATAAGAAATTTATTTGTCATTGCACTCACAAGTGGGTGCAACGAAATGAGGTGCTCTTCCCCAAGGTAAAACTGGGCACCACTACAAAAAAAAAATTAAAATATACACAACACTCACCATACAAATATAGATACCCCGTTTCTCCCAGCAATTAAAGTTCCACCAAAAACTTATGACCCC